ATCCCACCAGGTGCATTCATGGCATCCATAGACTTGAAGGACGCCTACCTACACGTGCCCGTGGCGGAAGCCTCTCAGAGGTTCCTCAGGTTGGCAGTGGGGGGGGAGGAAGGTATTCGACACTGGCAGTTCAGGGCTCTTCCATTCGGCCTTTCCTCCTCGCCAAGAGTATTCACCAAGGTTCTGTCGGAGGCACTGATTTCTATCCGCTTAAGGGGGATTTCAGTGGTGGCCTATCTGGACGATTTGCTGCTCTTCGCGGATTCAGAGGCTCACTTACGGCAAGACCTGGTTATAGTGAGGAACCATCTGGAAAGCTTGGGGTGGATTTTGAATCTGGAGAAGTCCTGCCTGGTGCCTTCTCAGAAGGTGATTTACTTGGGCTACACTCTAGACTCGGTAGACCAAAAGACCAGCCTGACTTTGGAAAAAGTCACCAAGTTGGAGGCCGGAGTCAGATTACTGCAGGGGAGCAGGTCGATGTCCATAAGACAGGCCATGTCGGTACTTGGATTGCTGACAGCGTCCATTCCGGCGGTTCAGTGGGCAGGTCTGCATATGCGTCCCCTCCAGTTGTGGATCCTGAGGGTTTGGGACAGGAAGTGTCACTCCCTAGAACACAGGGTCTTGGTGCCCCCCTGTGTGAAAAGGTCTCTATGGTGGTGGAGGAGATCGTCCAGCATAACTCAGGGGCTGTTGTGGTGCTTTCCGATTTCCGCGGAGGTCACTACGGATGCCAGCGCCAGGGGCTGGGGAGCCCACCTGGGAAATTTGGTGACTCAGGGGGAATGGTCCTTAGGGCAGAAGGGCAAATCCTCGAATTGGAAGGAATTGAGGGCAGTGTGGGAGGCTCTGCACTCCTTCCAGGCGGGGGTCACGGGCCAGCACGTGCGTGTCCTGACGGACAATGCCACGGCAGTGGCTTATATAAACAGGCAGGGAGGGACGCGGAGCAAGGCCCTCGGGGCCTTAGCGGCGACACTGTTGTCCTGGGCAGAGCTGAATTTGGCGTCCCTGTCTGCGATACACTTAAAGGGGGAGCTGAACCAGAAGGCAGACTTCCTGAGCAGGACTCGGCTCAGGGAGTCGGAATGGACCTTGAACCCCGATGTCTTTCAGGAGATTGTGCGAAGGTGTGGATCCCCGGATGTGGACCTTTTTGCCTCCGGAAGGAACAACAAGGTCCCAAATTTCTTCTCTCTATCCCGCTGGGACGGGTCCAGAGCGGTGGATGCATTAGGTCAGAGGTGGGACTACCGGCTTTGTTACGCCTTTCCCCCGGTTCCTTTGCTCCCCCTGGTCCTGAGGAAATTCAGGACAGAGGGGACCTCGTTAATCCTGATAGCTCCCTTCTGGCCGCGGCGGGCGTGGTTTGCGACCCTAAAGAGTTTGGCCTCTCGTCCACCCTGGGAGCTGCCACCGAGAGAGGATTTGTTAACACAGGGGCCGGTTCTTTGCCCCAGCGTAGGAAGATTGCGGTTAACGGCCTGGTTTCTGAGCAGCAGCTCCTCTTAGAGAAGGGGTTCTCGCCTAGGGTGGTGGCGACATTACTGGCCAGTAGGAAGGAGGAGACCCAGGCCATTTATGGTAGGGTCTGGGGTTGCTTTACAGCCTGGTGTGACCGGGCAGCAGTGGCAACCCATAGTTTGGTTTCTGTGTTGGAATTCCTGCAGGCGGGAGCGGACAAGGGATTGTCTGTCAGCACGCTCAAGGGCCAGGTCTCGGCCCTCAGTGTGTTCTTGGAGACGCCCCTGGCCAGGGAGGCGTTGGTGAGTAGGTTTTTCAAAGCTCTGGTGAGGCAGAGGCCTCCGAGGTCCAGACCATTTCCGGTGTGGGATTTGGCCAAGGTGCTCGGGGGGATGACTAGGGCTCCGTTCGAGCCCTTGGAGTCCTGTCCGATAGGTGAGCTCACCATTAAAACGGCTTTTCTGGTGGCGATTACCACGGCGAGGAGGGTGTGTGAGATGGAGGCCCTCTCGATCAGAACACCTTATCTCCGTATTTTTTCAGACAGGATCGTTTTCAGACCAGACCCGTCCTTCATTCCGAAGGTAGCTCGGAGTTTCCAGAGGGAACAGGACATTGTCCTTCCCTCGTTTTTTCCTGACCCGGTGGGGGTAGATCAGGAGAGGTATCATTGTTTAGATGTCAGAAGGTGCGTTCTCCAGTATCTAGAGAAATCTAGGGAGTTCAGAAGCACCGAATCCCTTTTTGTTTTTTTTTTTTTAAGGGGGCTAGAAGAGGCAAGAAGGCGTCTAGAAGGACGCTGGCCAGCTGGCTGCGGCTGGCGATTGCAGGAGCGTATCAGGCAGAAGGCCTGGAGGTCCCGGAGGGTATCAAGGCACATTCCACCCGAGCTGTGGCGGCTACCCAGGCAGAGTTAGCAGGGGTTTCCCCAGGGCAGATTTGCAGAGCGGCAACATGGTCCAGCTATGACACATTTGCCAAGCATTACAGACTGGACCTGGTCTCGGTGCAGGAGCAGGACTTTGGTCGTAAGGTCTTACAAGCAGTTAGCCCGCCCGAAGGGTGAGTACTCGCTTATCCTCTCAGAGTGCTGGCCTGAAAGACGGTAGGGGAAAAACCAAGTTACACTTACGGTAACGTCTTTTCCAGGAGTCTTTCAGGCCAGCACCGGTTTCCCACCCACTGTTGATATTGGTATGTGAAGATGGCTTATTATGATTGTTGTCTCGCATTGTGTCTCCCCAGATGACCGGAGGATGCTTGGAGAACTGAGGTCAGAGGGGAGTGGAGCTTTTTTATTGTAGGTGGAGGTGTTTCCTCAGATGGGGAGGAGCCGAGGTCTCTCAGAGTGCTGGCCTGAAAGACTCCTGGAAAAGACGTTACCGTAAGTGTAACTTGGTTTTTTTTTTTTTTTCGGGATAAAGGTTTTACATGAATAAATGAGATGATCATTGCAAGCACCCTTGATAGTTTTAAATGGTTTGTCTCAGCACTCTAAACTCTCGCTCTAAGCAACAGACTAACTGGCTGGATCACCAGGTGCAAATAAGAGCCTAAAAAGAAAACAAAGGCAGCCATCACATCAAGAATTGGTAAGCTGCAATATAAGAAAAAGTTTGCTTTTGGATTTACTTCCGCATCTCAGGCTTTCAGGAAGCTTTGTATTTTTCTGAATGAGCACAAGGCTTCATGTGATTGGCTGAGGTAGTTGGATGACATCATGATCTCCACCTCAGCTCGTTCAGAAAATGCAAAGCTTCTTGTACCGCTTCTGGAACATAGTGCTGTATACTGTATGTAGCTGATGTTTATGCAGCGCTACCAGCGGGTTCCTCTGTAGGTGAAGGGAATAATTTAGGCCAGCTTGGTCCAAACAAAGTATTTTAAAGTGACAGAAAGCTGGAGTTTTATCTTTACTGTTCAGCTTTAGGGTGAAAGGCCACTTGAAGTCTTCAGGCACCGTATTCCTGGTTTTCCGATGGGTAATGTGGGCAGGAGACATTCTGGATAATGCAGAAAGTAACGCTCTCAGATGGCGCACATTTTCACATATACATTGTTGCAGCATTGTAAAAAAAAAGCCCAGTGTGCTGTATAAATAGAAGGAATGATTCCTATTCACTATACAATGTGACACGCAAATGCTCTGCCCTACAGGTACCAAGATTAAGTGAATGGGATCTTTTCAAACAGTACAATGCATTATTGTGTGACCTTACCCTGAGCATTGCTGCCCTGTCCACCACGTGACCCTACACCCACTGTCCTGGGTATGCAAACCAATATCGAACTTTTAACAACTGGATGGTTTGGTGTAGATTCACATTCTGGTAATCCTGTTTGTTTTGGGTAGCAGGACATTAAAGTGGTATTAAGCTGGAAACCAAAAATGTAATATATTGCAGCTTACCAATCATTAGATGTGGTGGCTGCGTTAGTTTTAGGATTTTTTCCCACTGTTTTCACCTGGTGATTTTGGCAGTATCACACCTCCTGTTTTAGTGAGCCTCTACTCTGGATGAAGGAGCACAGGTGACACCTCTGGACAGCAGCATTGTCAGTCTGGGGGAGGAGAGGTGTTGGATTTACTAGCAGATTTAAATACACTAACAAATTGAAACCAAACTCCAGCTAACAGTTTATAAGCAGTTACAGCAACAGTTTTTTTCCTTTTGGGATAAAGGTTATTACAAGAATAAATAAAAGCTGATCACTTTGCACACCCCTGTCATTAGTAAATGGTTTCTCTTGACGTAACTGCTACATCTGTAGGACAGCTTTTTCTATTGTGAAACAGCAGACTTGCTTGCCAGATCACAGAGGAAAATAAAGGGAAAAAAGCACAAAAAAAGAAAATGAATGCAGCCAACACATCTAAGAATTGGTAAGTCACAATATAAGAAATGTTTGCTTTTGGGATTAATACAGCTTTAATATCTTTAAAGTGGCTGTACAGGCTGAAGGTTTTTACCTTCATGCATTCTATGTATGAAGGTAAAAAAAAACCTGTGTGCAGCTCCCCCCTCAGCCCCCTATACTTACGTGAGCCCAATCTGAATCCAGCAATGTGCTCAAGAGCAGTGGCTCTCCTGGATCTCTTCCTTCTCATTGGCTGAGACACAGCAGTGGGAGCCACCTGCTTCTGCTGTTAGTCACAGCCAGTGAGGAGACAGCAGAGGACAGGGCCGAGCCACAGCCAGTGTATTTTTTAGACGCACACAAGCAGCTTGCGAGCAAGCATGCAAGAGTTGTCCCCCCCCCCCCCCCCCCCCCCCCCCCCCCAAGGCAAGCAGCTTGCTACGGGTTGGGGGGTGGAGCTAGAAGCATCGGTGGGGGGCCCTCAAAAGTGGAGGATCGGGGCTGCTCTGTGTAAAACCATTGCACAGAGCAGGTAAGTGTGACTTTTTTTTTTTTTTTTTTTTTTTTTTTTTTTTTTTGTAATTTGAACATTTAGTATCACTAAATATTCTATGTAGAAAGTGTGGGTTATTACATTCTACAAATGTTTAGTTGTCAGTATTTTTCTTTTTCAGGGGAGCAAGCTGTGTTGCGTGTTCGCATTAGCAATGTTGCGGCTGCAGTTGGAAAAGATGCAGCCCTGTACTTGTATCAAGATGAGGAATGGGTGAGGATGCACGGGAGTATGGAAGAGTACAGCTGTCCTGAGAGACTGGCTTTGGCACAAGTAACAAGTAAGTGTTACATTTGCATCTCTGTGCTACATACAAGGACCAGCAAGCAGGGATTTGGCTACATATATACTAGCAAAATCATGCCTTTTGATGGGACAGGGTGGAATTTAGAAGTCCCAGTGGTATAACTACAGTGCCTTGAAAAAGTATTCATACCCCTTGAAATTTTCCACATTTTGTCATCTTAAAATCAAAAACGTAAATGTGTTTTATTGGGATTTTATGTGATAGACCAACACAAAGTGGCACATAATTGTGAAGTGGAAGAAAAAATGATAAACTGTTTTCTAAATCTTTTACAAATAAATATGTGAAAAGTGTGGCGTGCATTTTTATTCAGACCCATTTATTCTGATACCCCTAACTAAAATCTAGTGGTACCAGTTGCCTTCAGAAGTCACCTATTTGGTAAATGGAGTCCACCTGTGTGTAATTTAATCTCTGTAAATACAGCTGTTCTGTGAAGCCCTCAGAGGTTTGTTAGAGGACATTAGTGAACAAAAAGCTTCATGAAGGCCAAGGAACACACTAGATAGGTCAGGGATAGGTCATGGAAAGACTATGGCACAACTGCAAACCTACCAAGACATGGCCGTCCACCGAAACTGACTTGCCAGGCAAGGAGAGCATTAACCAGAGAAGCAGCCAAGAGGCCCATGGTAACTATGGAGGAGCTGCAGAGATCCACAGCTCAGGTGGGAGAATCTGTCTACAGGTCAACTATTAGTCGTGCACTCCACAAATCTGGCCTTTATGGAAGAGTGGCAAGAAGAAAGCCATTGTTGAAAGAAAGCCATAAGAAGTCCTGTTCGCAGTTCACGAGAAGCCATGTGGGGAACACAACCAACAGGAAGAAGGTGCTCTGGTCAGATGCTACCAAAATTGAACTTTTTGGCCTAAAAGGAAAACGCTATGTGTGGCGAAAAACTAACACTGCACATCACCCTGAACACACCATCCCCACCGTCAAACGTGGTGGCAGCATCATGTTGTGGGGATGCTTTTCTTCAGCAGGGACAGGGAAGCTGGTCAGAGTTGATGGGAAGATGGATGGAGCCAAATACAGGGCAATCTTAGAAGAAAACCTGTTAGAATGGCCCAGTCAAAGTCCAATTGAGAATCTGTGGCAAGACTTGAAAATTGCTGTTCTCAGACTCTCTCCATTTAATCTGACAGATATTGAGCTATTTTGCAAAGAAGAATGGGCAAAAATTTTACTTTTTAGATGTGCAGAGCTGGTAGAGACATACCCAAAAAGATTTGCAGCTGTAATTGCAGCAAAAGGTGGTTCTACAAAGTATTGACTCTGGGGCTCATTACAAATGTATGCCACAATTTTCAGATATTTGTAAACAAATTTTGAAAACCATTTATCATTTTCCTTCCACTTCACAATTATGTGCCCTTTTTTTGTTGGTCTTTCATATAAAATACATTTACATTTTTGGTTGTAACATGACCATATGTGGAAATTTGCAAAGGCATTGTATTAATATGACAATACTGTGATGACTGCTGCTATTGAATATATGATACAGCACGGAGTGAAGCAGTTTTGGGTATGTAACATAATGCACAATAAAAACCCACTAATACCCTTGCATACCCCACAACCTCTCAGCTTCCCATGGGGGGATCAGCAATGGACTTACATGGGCATATGCATTTCACAATAGATGTCAATTTGAGCTGCTTCTAAGATCATTGAGAATGCATTGCTGGTGTAGTTGGCCTGCTTTTGCATTTCCATAGACTTGTATGGGGAGAGATACAGCTCGGGAATGAACAAAAGCCTGACAATGCTGGCCGTTACATGTTAGACTTCAGCCAGGCCTGCTTATTGTGGACATCGACCTCCTTTTGCCCCAGACTTTTCTGTGACACAGAGCTCCATGTATAGTACTTCTTGCACATCACTTCCGCTCCCAGTGTTGTTTAACAATTGACTTCTGTCAAGCTTGGGAGCCCATTAAATGATCAAAATTTGGCTGTTCCTTGCTGGAATCGCATGTAAAATCTGACAGGCTAATTGTAAACAACTTGATCGATCAACCTGGGTACATTCAGACTGCCTATACATGGTTTAAATCTCGGCAAGTTCCTGCTGAACAGGCCAAGATGCAAACCTCTGGCCAGCCAGACCTCAACATCTATGGCCAGCTTTATTTGCTACCAGACTTTAGTAAACATTTAAAGAATTTGAATGCCAACTCCATCCATATCAGATTTTGTTGTTTTGGATGGAGTAGGGCTAACTCCACCTTTTTCCTAGGAGCACGAGAGGCAAATTTCTACATTACTGCCTAGGTATTGGTGTCAGCCCGTATTTTTCCACTAGGGGATAGGATACTATATTGTTGAATAGCTTGGCTCAAAGTTAATGGTCTCAGCCTGCCAAGAATGTTATGGAGATCTGCCTGCCTGGACTCCACAGAGAATTGAAAACCTATTAAGTTTCAAACCTTGCTTCTCTCTACCAAAAGCAGAACAGTCATCTAGTTTGGTTTGGAATGCTCCCTATATTATAACTTGTTAATTTCTTGTTGTCATGTCCTTTAGCATTTTTTTTTCTTAAACCACAAAATATCCCTGGGGCATCACAGTGGAATATGTAGAAAGCAGTCTGTGTGCTAAATATTCACCACAAACAATGCTGACATCCACCTTTTTAGCTACTTCCTGCAGAACTGGCTGTAATGTAAATTAAAGAGCACACCGAGTAAGCTTGGTAGTACACATTGTACAACCCCAATTCCAGAAAAGTTGGGACTCCGTGTAAAATCTACATAAGAACAGAATGCAATGATTTGCAAATCTCATAAACCCATATTTTATTTCCGACGGAAAATGTAAACGTTTCATATGTTTAAATTTAGAAAATGTACAATTTAAAGAAAAAAGTAAGGTCATTTTGAAATCGCTGTCGGCAACATGTCACAAAAATGTTGGGGCAACAAAAAGCTGGCAAATTACAACCCCAATTCCCAAAAAAGTTTGGACAGAGCCATGTTTACCATGGTGTAGCATCCCCTCTTCTTTTAACAACACCCTGTAAACATCTAGGAACTGAGGAGACCAGTTTCTGGAGTTATGGGAGAGGAATGTTGTCCCTTTCTTCTCTGAGCATATGCTGCTGTAAAAGTTGGATATCTTTCAGCATTGATGGTGCCTTTCCAGATGTGCAAGCTGTCCATTCAGTGCACCCCCCATACCATCAGAGATGCAGGCTTTTGAATTGAGTGCTGATAACAAGATAACACATTTCAATTCGTATGACCATAGAACAGTTTTCCACTTTGCAACAGACCATTTTAAATGAGCTTTGGCCTAGTTTCTGGATTATGTTCAGATATGGCTTTTTCTGTGCATGATAGAGCTTTACCCTGTATTTTCAGCATGGTGAACTGTACAAAGGAACATCAATTGCCCCAATCTATAACTGGCCTTTGCAGCAAGGAGCACATAGAATGGCGACTCATATTAAACCACAATAGAGAAAAAGTCCCAGCTTAACTTGCCAGCCAGCCTGCAACCAACTGAATTATCCTGTCTAACCGTTCACATTAACAGGTTTAAATTGCACACAATTGCACATACAGTGGGTATAGAAGAGAATCACCCCTCTTTAGAATAACCACATTTTCTTGCTTTGCAGGTTGAAATGAAGACCGGCACAGTTTTTTGTCTTATTCAAGTAAAAGGCAAAAAACCTGGGTGCAGCTCCCCACTCAGCCCCCCTTATACATATCTGAGCCCGATCTCAATCCAGCGATGTGCATAAGAGCAGCAGCTCTCCTGGGTCTCTATCTCCTCATTGCCTGAGACACACAGTGGGAGCCAATGGCACTATTGTGCAGTCCTTCAACACTACACAAATGACATTTGTATAATTTTTTTTCACACAAATAGAGCTTTCTTTTGGTGGTATTTGATCACCACTGGGTTTTTTATTTTTTCTGCTATAGGCGGAAAAACACCAAAAACTTTGAAAAAAAAACAAAACATTTTTTGCTATAAAACATATCCCATAAAAATGTAAAAAAAATAAAATGTGTTCATAAATTTAGGCCAAAATGTTTTATGCTACATATATTGGGTAAAAAAATCTGAATAAGAGCATATTAATTGGTTTGCGTGAAAATTATAGCGTATACAAATGACGGTATATATACTGTTTATTTTTTTTTTTGTTATATACCAGTAATGGCGGTGATCAGCGACTTATAGTGTGATATATTACAGTGAGCATTCTGACACTGGCTGACTGACATCACCAGTGACACAAATACAGCGATCAGTGCTAATAAAATGCACTGCTGCTTTACTAATGACACTGGGGTAGGAAGGGGTTAACATCCGGGCAATCAAGAGAGTTAACGGTGTGCCTCGGGAGTGTAATGAAACTGCTCCATGTACTGTTTTACTAAGGGATGCCGACACATTCCCTCTGTCAGTAGAGAATTCTCTGTTTTTTACAATACAGATCTCTCTCCTGTCACTCGCTCCAACGATCGGCAGCTCTTGGCCATGAATCTTTGACTAGGACCCGGTGATTGGCATGTAAGAGAGCCAGTGAAACCACAGCCAGGTGGGCGCGTGCTCCCCCCTACCCAGAAATGCAGAATCACATGGCTGGTGCCAACAGTGAATGGGCTGACAAAAGCCCAGGTGCCAGGAAACAATTTCTAGTCAGCATAGCGACCTGGCATCTGGGATTTGTCGAGCCCTGTATTAGAAGAAACAAAAAAGGTGCCCAATAGACCATATCAATGCAGCCTACTTTTAGATGCAGGAGCACACACATTTTTGCTAATTTAAAAATGTTCTGTGGAAGCTCTTACTAATGAAAATTCAGGTTTTTAAATTCCTGTTTTTTTCTTATAGCTTTTGTATATATATATATTTTTTTTTTTTCTTTTAGTTCCCTTGAACCAAACTGAATATAACTACACTCTGCCACAGATCATCTCTCCAGTTGCCTGGTATGCAATATATGTGGACAAATACACCTGTCTGATGAGCTATGAGGATCCCACTTCTGATGAGATCACTTTTCAAGTTACACTACTCAACCCTGATGCTGCTGGCAATCCTTTTGACCATTTTGGAGCAGATGAATCAGGTACATATGGACATAGTTGTGTAACAACTCCATTCTGTTCCACTTTCTAAGCAAACGCTTTTCTTCTTTTTTTTTTTTTAATGAGGTATAGCTTTTCAGTCGCATTTGTAAACCCCTACAGTTGTTTAAAGCCCACCTCCTGGAATATTAAAAAATCACCCTTGCAGTTGGGCTCCCACTGGGTAAATGCTTATGTCAAGGGGAATACAGTTCTGGCTGTATTACTTACCTGTCTTCCTGTTTCAGCCAGCTCTGGCATTCTCCCCCCCGCCCAAAGTATTGGTCTATAGGCAGAATCTCTACGTTAACACATTCAGTACAGGTACATTAACATTGAGGAATCTGGAATGTGACTGTGGCCAGTCTTGGCTACAGAGGCAGCTGCAGTGCAACAGTCGTAGAGCTGGAGAGACTCTGTTGGACCGAGGATTGTCCTTATTCCTCTACCCCCTAGACTTTATGAACATTTAATTCTTGGAGTGCAGGGGGAAGTTGGATTTCTCTATATTCCTGTAGTTAGACTTTAAGCACAATCGATTTCTCCTTTAATTGTCAGTTTTTAATTCACTGGCTGCACTGCCTGGGTTATGTACTCAGATTTAGTGGGTCTGCACAACAGCTAGGAAACCCCACATTTTCTACAGGTTTTCTTTAAACCTCCAATCACCATTTTCTACTAGCAGTGTGCACATTATTATACATGACTGTGTGCATTGTTGTAGGATAAATAGTGTCTCCGATTTATGTTCGTATGTACAAGTTAAGCTAAATCTGAAGATGTGAGGGGAAGGGTAGGGGCAAATCCACTCCTTCCAGCCTGAGAATGTAAACAAAGTGCAGTTGTTAGGGCTGCCATACATGGTCACATGTACAATTGGGTAGTGTGTGTGATATGCCCATGTTCTTTTTGATGGCATAGTATAAGGATCTGCCCTAACAATTGATGCTCAATCAACCAAGCTTCAGATGTACCTTTTTGTGCTTTGAACAGCTTGTTCTCTCTTGCTTGAAGTGATGGTAAAGTCACTTTTGTTTAATACAAAAAGATTTTATACTTGCCTGCTCTGTGCAATGGTATTGCACAGAGTTGTCACTTACCTCTTCTTTGGTCCTCTGCTGGTGCTTTTGCTCCTCCTCCTTCTTCTTCTAAGTGCCTCCATGTCAAGCTCTGTGCTATAGGGGCACGTTCCCAGCTTGGGCCATGTGTGTTCATAGACACACAGTGCAATCCAACCATGCCCCCTGCTCCCTCCTCCCAGGATTTTACTGACAGCAGCAGGACACTATGTCTCCTGCTGCTGCCTGTGACTCCTGTGAGACCAGTTAGTCGGTGCAGTGATGCTACAGACAGGGACAGCATTGAAGCATGGGAGGAGACAGGTGAGTGTTTGTTTAGGGATGGGGGGACAGAAAAAGTAGTAGGACATGTTTTGCTATTATGCAGTTGATGCATCAAAGTAAAAAAATGTTTTGACTTTATAACAACTTTAACAATTTGGTGAGCGATTTTTTTTTTTTTTTTTTACATATTACAGCATTTCTGTATGCATCATCCAACTCTTAGATGCTTGTTATTATGTGAAAGTCAATGAAAACCTTAACTTTTTTTATGTCCCCCCAATCCTCTGGCTGTAGTTCCAATCTATTTTTGGGTCATGTGGCCAGTTTCTGTTCCTCTCCATGATTGTTTTTCACCTTCATATACCTCTGTGTGAAGTTATGACACAGCAGCTAGCTATAGGGGCAAGAAATGAATAATACAAGGAATCGGATCATAAAAGTGAATGCTATTGCCATGGTCAGCTCACTGCCTAGCAGCCCCCAGCAGTGGGAGCTACATGTATCCACTCTGTCTCAATTACAACAAATGATGCTGACTTGCAAATATTTGATTATGTGTGGCCAGCTTCAGATCTAAAGTTTATTGTACAAGTAAAAACATTCCTCTGAGAACCATCTAGACATAAATTGCCTCCATTCTAATCTGTAACAGGGAGGGATTGTGCTTTTTCAAATCGTATTATTGTCTGTTAGTTGTAATCCTCTGGGATTCATGTCGCACATCACAGGGATTATTCTGTTTAAAAGCTGTGGCTATCATCTATAAATGTAATCTTACTTCCATACTGCCTCAGTACCTTTTGTGTTTGTAGCTGTACATTTCCTTTTGAAACGATTGCATCCATTAACTTTTATATAAAAGTAAGGACGGTATAGGCAAATTTGATAAAAAATTTCAAAATAAACAAATTTCCTGGAAATTTATAGTGAGCCTCCTTCTTTCTTTTCTTTTTTTTTTTTTTCTGTTTTTTTTTTATGTGAGGCTGCCACTAAATGTACACTCACTGACCACATTATTAGGTACACCTTGCTAGTGCCAAGAAAATATTCCTCACACCATTGCACCACCACGTTCAGCCTGAACCGTTGATATAGGGCAGGATGGATCCATAATTTCATTTTTATGCCAAATTCTGACCCTGCATCTGAATGTCGCAGCAACCAGTCTGCCTCCACCAACATCAAGGCATTTTTGTCCAAACAACTGCTGCTCACTGGGTATTTTTTCTTTTTCAGACCATCCTCTGCAAACCCTAGAGATGGTTGTGAGTGAAAATCCAAGTAGATCAGCAGTTTTCAAAATACTCAGACTAGCCCATCTGGCACCTACAACCATTTCACGTTCAAAGTCATTTAAATCCCCTTTCTTCCCCATTTATTTCAAATGATTTTTATTGAAAGATTTTACACAATACAAAACAAAGATCAGTACGGTTCACCATAGAATATATACATACTTAAATGAGGGAGTAAGAGACAAGAGATACAACCCCACCAATTGGTCAGGGGTATATAAACAATTAGCCAGTGTATCAACGTGTCATTTGTTCAGTGTGAGCCGTTAGGTAGAGGAGAAACGTTTTATAAGTTGGAACAGGGTAGGGAGGGGGGAGGCAGAGGTTGGGGGGAGGGGGGGGGGAAGCACCAGTCTAGGACATAGGGTCGTAATGTTATTCGTTTGTGATTATGTTATCATTTTATAGAGCAATTGGGGTTGTGTAGCCATAAGGACCATTGTTTGGAAAATTTATGGTGAGAGGCGTCATTAGTAAAGGCTGATCTTCTTTCCATATCGCACTGAAAGTTCAGATCCATTATAAGGGTAGAGAGAGAAGGGGTTTTGGAAGAATTCCAGAGTCTAGTGACATTGAGTTTGGCGGCTGCTAATATATGGATGATGATAGTACGGGATGCGATGCTAAAATTTTCGATTCCTATGTGTAGGAGAGCGAGGGCTGGGTCTGGAGCCACTTGGGCACCAGCAATGGTAGAGATCAGTTGAAACACACTGTTCCAGAACGATCTTAGGGATTTGCAGGACCAAAGAATATGAAGGGTTGGACCTGTTTCTCCACAATTTCTCAGCAGCAAGCGGGTGAATGTTGGGGATAAAATAATGCGAGTTTGAGAGGTGTGAGATACCATTGGTGCAAAATTTTTATGTAAGATTCCCAGTGGGAGCTACATCTGGACGCTCTGTGTGTGATAGTAAAAGTTTTTTCCATGTGTGGGGTTGTATTGGGTGGGAGAGGATTTTTTCCCAGTGGAAAAAGAAGTGGTTTTAAGGGGAAACAATGTACTGGTTATGAGCTTGTAAAAGGTCGATATTCCTTTCTTAGGGTATTGTGGTTTGGTGAGGAACAGATATGTAGTTGTAGGTATTTTCAAGAGAAAAGGGATATTTGTCCTTTTTAGGGAGTGAGCTATTCTTAAATAAGTAAACATTTCTTTGTTAGGAAGGTGAAATTTCTGTTGAATAGTTAGAAAGGAATCTAGTTTGTGGTTTGTATAAAGGTCTTGTATATGAGATATGTTTTGCTTTTTTCCCATTGTAGAAGGTTCAAAGAGGGAGTGATATATAATGAAGTATTGTGATTGGGGTGAGGATTGCCTTTGATTCTGAGGAGGTCTTTGATAAAAGGTTGTACCAGGCTTGTATGGAAGCTTGGACGCAAGGATGTTTGTGTATAATTTTGGGTTGGGAGGATTGTGGTAAGAACAGGATATCACTTGGTGATGTCGAAAGGTGTGTGGGAGTGTTTCCATAGTAGTCCACGCTTTTTCGTTAGTTGGATGCCACCAAAAATAGAGTTGATCTAGAAGTACTGCGCTATAGTATGATTTTAAATGTGGGAGACCTGCTCCTTCTCTAGAGATTGGGCGTATAAGTTCGTTGTACACCTAGGTTTCTTCGAGTTCCAGAGGAATTTGGAAATAGCTGATTGTATCTTGGAGAAGAAAATATTGGGAATGGGTATAGGGAGTGTGCGGAAGGTATAAAGAATTTTAGGTAGTATGCACATTTTTAGAGTGGCCACTCTCCCTAGCTTCGATAATGTGGATGTACGTAGGGTTTTAAGTTCTTGTGGGATAGAATCAAGTAGTCGTTTATGATTTAAGGCATAGAGCTGATCCGTTGACGTGGTAAGTTTAATGCCTAGATAAGGGATGCTTTGGTGTTCCCAAGAGAAGGGAAAGCGGTGCTTAAGTATTTTCTGAAACTTAGTAGATATGTTGAGGTTTAAGATAGATGATTTGGGCGCGTTAAGTTTGTAGTATGATACTTCTGAGTATTGTAGGAGATGAGATTGGATCGTTTGGAGTGATTTGTATGGGTTTGTAACCATTAATATTATGTCATCAGCAAATAAGCTTATTTTGTGTTCTTTTTTGAGATGGGTGATCCCTGTGAACTTCGCGTCCTCTCTAAGTTTAGAAGCTAAAGGTTCAATAAGAAGGGTGAAAATTATGGGTGATAGGGGACAGCCTTGTCTGGTTCCGTTGGAGATATGAAAGGTCTGTGAAAGCGTGCCATTGGTTAGTACTCTCGCTGATGGGTTTGAGTAGAGGGCAAGGATTGCCGATAGCATCCAATCCGAGATTCCAAACTTTTGGAGTGTAAGTGTCATAAAGTGCCATTGTATTCGGTCAAATGCTTT